AAACTTGCAAACCACACACACACACACACAGGGCAGAGGCAGGACTTGAGCCCCGGATCCCAGGGGTGCGAGGCAAACATGCTAACCTCTAAGCCACCGTGCCTCCTGAGCTGTACTGTCATTAGTAAATGCATATTATGAAGGATTCTAAAACCCCAGCTTTCATATATAGATGTCAAAGGCAATTCTTGCATCTCAGCTCAATTCCGTAAGGATCCAAGTTGCGTGACAACATATCCAGCCTTTAGACATTTAATGCTGTAATTTGAAACCATGAGTTTGTGATGATGTTCAAGTTGGTCAGCTAGGAATAAAGCAATGTTTAAAAGGACAAATTTTTGCATCTGTAATGAGGGCAAAACAACTGTATATCACCTAAAAATGTTGTGCATGCTGTCTATGGTTTGTGCACATTTATAAATTTTCAAGAATGTTCATGGTCCAACTGCATGATAATTAATTTTCAGGGGTTTTTTGTGTGTGTGTCCTGTATTTGCATGCCCCTCCTCTCACTCACTGCCTGCATCAAGATTCAAGATTACATTAGAAAACCCAATAGACCAGTACACATTGAACAAAGTGTTTTTGAGCATTCCATAAGCTTCACTGGATCCTGTGGGTTGTACATCTACTGTATCGCTGTCTAATGTAACATATACGCTTTAGTAGTCGACATAGCTTTCAACAGTAGATTACTAACAGCATGATGTGACGGTGCAGTAAGAGATGTGCAGATATCCTGAACCTTTTATTCCGCCTGAATAATGAACTGCAGTCTGAGGGATGAGTAACAGCCCAGCTGTTAAATGTTTACTTGTGGCATTTTCAATTAAATTTTAGGAGAAGCAGTGCTTCCTGTGTAATCTTAAAGCAATCGCCTGTGGAAGGCAAATTTACTTTTCCTCCTTCATGTCATTACTAAAAAAAAAAACCCTCAGAGACCTCACATTCATACAGGGGGCAAACATTTCCAAATTATCATTCGTTATGTAAAACCTTCTAGGTCAGCACTAATAGCTTATGTAAGGAATAAACCACTTTGTGGTGTGATGTTATAGGAAAATAACCAATGCCAGGGTGGTGTGATGTACATCCTGAAGTGTTTTATTCCTTTCACACCGCAGCAATTTGCCAAACATTACTTTTGTTTTCTTAATCAAAGAATATCATTTTATACGTTTTTTTTTTAATCAAGTTTACGGTTACATTTAATGTTGTGGAACATCTGTGAAATATGTTAGTTCCACTTATCTCTTACGCTATAACATCGACAAAAACAGATGTTCTTTCACCAGCTTATCCTCTTACCCACTGGAAGACTTTCCTGGAGCAGAAAAACGTCCTTACTGTTAGCGCTGACGCTGCAGACTCCTTCCATAAAAGTTTAATAAACATCTCCTCACAGAAAACTTCACAATATCAATGATTCTACATTTTTCTTTGTTAAATAACAGCCCTTTTTGTTGAATGGCAGCCAGAACTACTGTCAGAGCTGCTGTTAAAAATGAATCAACACCTTCTGAACAATTAGATTCGAGAATTCAACAGTATTGAGGTATTATGTCAATTATACAGCAGTTAGTTCCGGTCCACTAATTTGATTGGTCGAGTGGCGTTCGAGAGTGCCTATATTTCTGTGTATCAGTCCTGTGTGTATCAATCCACTCGTCTGTGTTCGCCATATAAAATTCCACTTCCTAGATGGAGTTAGAGACATCATCAGCAGACACTTCAGGAATATAACTCTTCACTTAAAATATGAAAGCTTGTCAGATGAAGAAAGGAAGAAAAGGAAGAAGGGATGCCAATTTTACTGGAAGCACCTTTAACAGGAACGTACAGATCAATGTGAGCTAGCTAGCCAGCTAGCCGATGTGCTATGAAGTGTGTGTTGCGTCTTGAGGATCTATTTCTGCTAGCTAACGGCGCAAAAATAAACAGAACATTTGGGCATATTGTGTCAGAAATGTCACTTACTCAATATTAATTTAATATTAAAGTTTTTAGAACTTGCAGTCATGCGGTTTTGCTGAATATCACAGCCGTTATTCGGTTATATGGCTGAATCACAGCCATGCCGATATTCATTATAACCGCACGATTACGAGTGAGATTTTGCTTAATTAATCAGCCAGCTTCTTATATTTAGTCTTTTTAATAAGATGATATGCTGCATTTTGCACTAAAAAAGTTGAGTTGGGCTCCTTGAGTGAGGCAAGAAAATACTTCATTACAATACTCCAGGTGTGACGACCCAAAAGCATGAATAATCTTCTCAGTGTCCTGAAAGGACAAACTGAACAAAGACGGGAAAAAAACAGAGTGTGAGGATGGGAGAACAAAGCCCAAGCTGCAGAAGTGTTATCCTCATTAGGAGATGTAAGATTCGGAAAGAGAAGTGAGAGAAGAAGAGACATGATAATACAGTAGGGAGAGAATGAGAGCGAGAGTTTCTGAGGAGAACAGAGAAGAGAAAACTGTGTGCATGAAGCAAATCAGGGTCACATCTGTGGAAGTGCTTTTCTGCAGCACTCTATCGTAGAGTGTAGAGAGAGTAGAGTAAACATACGTGAATTGTATTGTTTTAGAACTAGCCCTTGAGCCTCAACATCTGAGAACCCTGAACTACTAACTATCCTAAACATTGTATATTCAGCCCAGGGTTCTACAAAGTGAAAGATTTGCTCACGTATGCTCTTTTTTTTTTTTTTTTTTTAAATGTAAGTAGAATTTGGACCACATTTATAAGA